GCTTTTATTAGAGATAAGTTGTAAAATGTTTTTTCATGGTCTTCTGCTTTCCTTATAATTTTGGTTGCATTGGTTTTCTTTGTGTAAAAACTTAAATTTTATACAATCAGAATTATCTATTTTATGTTTTGCAATGCTCTCTATATTTTCTTAGGTCTTAAATTCTTACTTTATTTATAGATCTGATAGATAAACTACTCCATGCCCTCCTAATTTGATTACGGTATCATTCTTTATGTGTAAATCAATTGGAGAAATTGCTCTTGGGTAGGCCCAGTTAATACAATAAAAATTATAAATCTCCCCAAGTTAATTTACTCATTCAGTTCCATACCAGCCAAATTACCAAAGATGTATTTTATGAAGCTAGAAAACATTACAGAATGTGGAAGAACAGGTCAAGAATATCATGTGAAAGAAGGTGGCCTCACACTATACCAGGTTTCAAACTATGTCCTGGCATGGTAATCATCAAAATAATCTGATACTAGCCAAGAAGTAGCATGTTGTATCAGTGGAATAGATTAGGTAAACAATACACAGTAGTAAATGACCATAGTAATCTAATATTCGATAAACCTAAAGATCCAAGCTTTTGGGGTAGGAACTCCCCATTTGAAAAAATTGCTAGAAAAACTAGAAAGCATTTTGAAATAAGGCATATACCAGCATCCCACAGCACATACCAATATAAAATCAAAATGGGTAAATAAAATGGTGATCATTAAATTAGAAGAGCATGGAAAAACGGACCTGTCAGATCTATGGATAAGGAAAGATTTATGACCAAACAAGAGATAGAATCATGGGAAGTGAAATGAATGATTTTAATTATTATGTAATGAAAAAGGTTAGGCACAAATAAAACTAATGCAGCCAAAAATAGAAAGAAAATAACAAACTGGGGGAGAAATTCATAGCAGGTTTCTTTGATAAAGGTCTCATTTCTCAAATATATAGGGAACCAAGCTAAATTTATAAAAATAAGAGCCATTTTTCTGTTGATAAATGGCCAATAGGAACAGGAAGTTTTTAGGAGAAATCAAAGCTATCAATAATCATGTGACAAAATGGTTTAAATGACTAATGATTAGAGAAATCTAAATTAAAACAATTCTGAGGTACCATCACACACATATCAGATTGGCAAACATGACAGAAAAGGCAAATGACAAATACTGGAGGGGAAGTGGAAAAATTGGGACACTACTACCTTATTAAGAACAATTTGGATTTATGCCCAAGAAGCTCTAAAACTGTGCATATCCTTTAAGCCAGCAATACATCTACTAGGTTTATATATCCCCAAGAGATCCAAGAAAAGGGAAAAGGACCTATTTGTACAAAAATATTTACAGCTGTTCTTTTTGTGGTGGTAAAGAATTGGAAATTGAGGGGTTGTTCATCAATTGGGGAATGGCTGAACAAGATGTGACATATGATTGTGTGGAATACTGTTGTGCTATAAGAAATGGTGAATAAAAGGTATCAGAAAAACTGGAAAGACTTAGGTGAACTCATGCAAAGTGAAATGAGCAGAATCAGGAGAACCTTGTACACAGTTATAGCAATATTGTAATGGTGATGAACTGTAAAAGACTTAGCTACTCTGATCAAGAAAATGATCCAAGACAATTCTGAATGATCCTTGATTAAAAATGGTATTCCCCTCCAGAGAGAAAACTGATGTACTCTGAATGCAGATTGAAGAATATGTTCTTTTTTTTTTTTGAGAGGTCATCAGGGTTAAGTGACTTTTCCAGGGTCACACACCTAACAAGTTTCAGAGTTGAACTCAGGTCCTCCCGACACCAGGCCTGGTGCTTTATTCACTGTGCCACCTAACTGCCACTGAAGAATACTTTCTTAAAATGCCTTTATTTTTCTTTTGTTGTGTGTTTGTGTATATGTTTTCACTTCACATGAATGATTGATATCAAATTTTTTGCCTTCTCAAAGAGGAAGAGAATTTGTAACTCAAAATTTAAAAAAAAAATCAAAGTTAAAATTTTTCTTACATGTAATTAGGAAATATTTAACAAAATAAACATTTTTTTAAAAGTAAGATGAAAATCTTTTTTTTAAGTTAAAAAGAAAAGAAAATTGTCTGGAATTTGATTAGTCCAATTAAATGATATTTGGTACTTCAGAATAATAACATTAATATGTTTGTGAATTGGCCAAAAGATTGAGTAATTTCCCATGGATGTACCAAGTTTAAAATGAATTTTCTTAGGGATAGCAACAGTCCAGCTGTTACTAGCATGAAATAATTCCTGCCCCCTATGAGAAATAGCAGGTCAGCTATTTAACCACTCAGCTAATCTAATACTATATTGGAATGTGATAGTGCCTGGCAAATAGTAAACACTGCTTTTTGGGGTAGTGCTGTGTTAAAGTGAATTTAATTAGAGAATAAAAGGTAGCAAAGTTTAAAGAAAAGAGCACCAGATTGTATGTCAGAAGACTTATGTTTGACACTCAGCTGTAATTCTTAATAGCTGATTGAATTGAAGCATAATTAATCATAATAGTTAAAATGGATTTAAATACCATTAGCTAAGGATGAATAAAAAAAAAAGAGCAGTGTTTTTAAAAAAGTAGTGGAGAAACAATAACTTTCCAGAAGAACTGATTCTAGTGATAAATGTTAGCACAAGATTTTTAAAACCTAGGTTGGAGGCAAGCAAGAAATGAGAATATAGAAGACCATGTTTAGGAGCTGATGGCAATAAGGAGGGGTACCTGCAAGGCCAAAAAGCTAAAATCTTCCTAGGCCTTAGTTTTCTCTTTAAACTGGGAATGAGAGCCCCAAAGTTGTCAACAAGAAGCAGATACCCAAAGTGTAATGAATGACAAACCCCAAGAAACAGCTTCTGGGTAATTAATAATCAATTCATTAATTAGGCTGGCCCACAATCAATAAATTAATCGTCAGTGGTTTCTCTTACTAACCAAAGACAAGTCATGGAGAGCCTGAAAGCTTTACGTAATCCTTGAAAGGGAATGTGCCTGACAAGTGAAAGTCAACTCGAATTGGTGGACATTTAATGAGGAGGTGGGCTAGAAGTCTTCAGCTCCTCCTGATCAGAATGTGGCTTTTATCATGAGACTCAAACACCTCCAGCCATCTGGACAGGTGATTGTGTTTCCATTGAGACCACTTTGGTTGGTTTTCTCCTTCATGAGCTGGGTCACCCTAAACTCTAATTAAGGGGTACAAAAACAGGAGCTATTTTCCTCAGGATAAGAACTGCCCAGACTGGTTCCTATTATGCTCTAAATAGTAGTTAGGTCTCCTGGTTGGGTGGGATCTCACCTAAGATTGACAAGTGTGTTCCTTGAGGGCTAGTACTATCCTTCTGAGTTAGTTGTGGCCTTCGGAGACTGATTTATTACAGGAGCAGGGCCTTAATGAGAAAATAAAGGAGAAAAGCCTGGACCTCAATTTAATAATTAGTTATTAATATGCTAGTAAAATAATAATTTCTCTTGAAAGTAAAAGGAGACAGGATCCACTTGTGATGATAGAAGTCTATAATGTGTTTGATTGCTTAGCCATTATTAACATGTGTCCCTGAAAAATCTTGGAGAACAGAGGAAGTGCCACAGGACTGGAAAAGAGGGTGGATTTTGCAAAGCCTAGCCCAGTTCATTGGTAAATGAGTGGTTAAGGATCAATTAGAAAACACTTTTTTTTTTCTATACTGCTTTATGCTATTTCAACCATAGTCATTTCTGGAAAAAAGCCTTCTCTCTCTCACTCTCCAAATTTTATCCTCTTTTATACCAAAGAAATGCAATTGCACAAAAATACCCAAGATAGTGACTTTACCTGACAAGTCATAAAACATTCGGTATTAGTGGTCTCTATTCTCTCTGCTATGAAAAGTGGTAACATTTTTTCAGTTACTTGGTTTAGCAACTTTTTCATTTTGAAAAAAATTTATATTTTTGTATTCCTTCTGTGTTCTGTTAGCTCTACTTATTTCACATTGCATCAGTTAATACACATTTTCCTGTGCTTCTCAGTCCTCATATTTGTCATTTCTTACTATATAGTAATAGTCCATTGTATCCATATGCCATTTTTTCCTAGCCATTCTTTATTGGTGAGAATTCAGTTTGTTTCCATTTCTTTGATGTCCCAAAGGAGTACACTTGCGAATGTTTCTGTGTATAAATTCAATTTTAGCCTTGCTCTTGTTATAGAGAAAGGGTATGGCAGCATGGTAGTGAGAATAACTCTGAATTCAGAGTCCAGAGCACCTGGGCTCAGAGTACAGATCTACCATTCTTTCCACTTTTGACCTTAAGCAAGTTACTTTTCCTCTTTGTATCTCATTTCCCTAATTTGTAAGATGAGAAAGTTGGACTCTAAAGTCTCTTCTAGCTCTGAGTATATGAATTGGAAAATAATGGTTCTTTAATGCACATTTTTTTCATGTACTGTTACATACAGGAGATGGTAGCTCCCTTACCCCATGCTCACATTCGCTCTTATTGCTCTGGGAGCACTGAACACTCGGCCAATAATAGGTTCCTGCTCAGGCCTCACTTGGTCATCGTTTGGGCCCTGATGGCTCAGAATTAATGTAAATAGCAATTGTTTCTGTTTTGGCCAGAAACCCTGAAGGTCTTCCCCTTCTTTGCCTCATTTCTTACCTATCCTTAATCATTGAGCAGGTGTTGCCTGAGACAAACTGAGACATGGGAAAGACCTTAGCTTAAAAAGGCCAAGGTCTCCCACTGCATCTGGGCCCAAATCCAGTCATCCTGAGCTATCTCTTACCACTGGACATAGATGGCTTCAAAAGAGAAAGTGAGGCTGGTGACTTTGCATGGCCCTTCCTCACTTAAATCCACTTCACTTGCACGTATAGCTTCATGTTCGTGATTTTGTGGTCCTCTTGGGGAATGAAGGACAAACAACAATATTAACATTTGAGCTTCTTAACAGAACTATATCTGGGTGATTACAAATACTTTTGGTGTTTCAGGAATCGGTGACATTCAAGGATGTGGCTGTAGAATTCACCTGGGAGGAGTGGGTACATTTGAACCCATCTCAGAAAACACTGTACAGGGATGTGATGCTGGAGAATTATAGGAACTTGGTGTCTTTGGGTAAGAACAGCTTCTCTTTTGCAGTCCTGGTATATATGATGTTGACTTTTAAAAGTTATTCTTTGGCATACAAAAGGACAATATTCCCTTGGCCTTGTGTAGCCCAGAGAGGCAGTACTTGTGTTACTTGTTTCCAGGATTAAGGTCTTTGCTTAGTATGCCTGGAAGCTGACTTTTTAATTTGTTGTTATTCTTGAGAATGTTTCTTTCCCTCTCTGTTGCTTCAAATCTAAGGTTTTCAGTTTAATCCCAGTGTAGGTTTCATCATATACAAAGTGTTTTCATTGTCTAAGTATGAAGTGAGTCAAATGAACTGTTTTTCCTTAGTCCTGTATTCTAACCCATTCCTCCATAGTACAGAATATCCTTCAGTAGTCCTTTGTATTGTCCTTGGGAGTCTTCCTAGGATGCATACTTTTTTTTCCCCAAAGAGAGATTAAACTAGTTATGAATTCTTTTATGAAATTTTATGGATGCACCACTACATAAAAAAACAAACAAAAGCCTACCTCTCCTGTCCATTGAGCCCTCCATGGTTGAAAAAAAATCTCAGACATAATGAGCTAACATTGCCAGGGCCCTTGATGTTATCAGATCAATTCTGCGGTTTTTTCCAAACTTCTAGGAAGAGTTGAGAGGAATGTTTAATCTGTGTGTTCTATGATGGAATTCTGAGGTGACTGTTCCTAGCAATTTTTCATGTTTTACTAAACAGGATTTGCAGTTTCCAAGCCAGATGTCATCTACCAGTTGGAAAGAAAGGAAGCATCTTGGATGCCAGAGGCAGATATTCCAAGAAGCAGCTGTCCGGGTGACTTCAGAAAAACCAAGCAGATGGATCATTATAAAAGCCAGCTCTGTTGGTCATTTTAGGTCAAAGCTCTTGTAAAATGTTGAAGAAGTTAGCCTTATTGAAGCTTCTCAGGCCTGTTGAAAAGAGCTGAGACTTAAAAACTTTTTTTTTCTTTTGGCGAGGCAATTGGAGTTAAGTAACTTGCCCGGGGTCACACAACTAGTAAGTGTCATGTGTCTGAGGTCAAATTTGAACTCAGGTCCTCTTGACTCCAAGGCTGGAACTCTATCTACTACGCCACCTAGCTGCCCCATAAAACTTCATTTTTAAACTCAAGAAATTACTTTTTTTTGTACCTCTTTACTGATATGTAACTCTGCTCTCTTCTGTTCATTGAAGATTATCTTAAGGAGGCATTCTTCTGTCTCACTTCCATCCATTCATCCTCCCTTTTAAAATAAGCACATTACTCAAAATATTAATAATATGCATTTTTCCTTCTCAGTCCCCTTCTGATATTTTCTTTTGTATTGTTTTTATGATTGTTTCTTTGCTGCTGTTACTTTATAAAATATTTAATTTTAATTGCCCTTTCTTCAGTCTATCAGGTAATATATCATCCTGTTTTTATGCTTTGAAATTACTTTTACAAAGGGACAATAATATGTTCGTATGAAAGGACTTGTTTAGCTGCAGCCCCATCATTAGACCTATAGGTTTTTAACATTTTGCTGTTTCACAAAAAGATGTTGTGAATATTTTTGAGAGAGGTCTTTGCTTTCAATAACATTTTGAGAATGGGAGACCTTAGCAGGACAGTTGGATCAAAGGGTATGAAAAGTCTTATAGCTCTGGTTGATATCACTATGTTATTTTTCAGGAAAATGGCAGCAGAAGCTTAATAAGTACCTATTTCAGCATAACTACTAACATTTGTTATTCTTTTAAAGTATCTTTGCGAATCTGATGGCTATTTAGTGATTCCTCCAGATTGTTTAGATTTTTACTTTTTTGATTACCAGAGCTTGAGTAATTAGTAATAATTTCTTTTGTGAAAAATAGCTATATTGTTACACTTAAAATTTGAATGAATTACTTATAAAGGAGATACGTTAAATTTTTAAAGGAAATTTATGGCAACGGTTGTCTGCTATGACCCCCCCCTTTCCTCATAGTTCTTCTTTACTCTGTTTGCTTCATGTCTCTATCTCTCCTCCTCATCAGTTCTCCTTTTTTTTTTCTGTTCAGTATTTTCCTTTCCTATTTTCACCTAAGATGGTAAGGACGCATTTGCAAGCTCTCAAAATCATCTACTTTTTATGGAGATTTTTTTCCTTTTCTTATTACATTCAAATGTCAGCTGTTTATGGTAGAGTAAGGGCTTATAAATCCCTCCAAATAATTTTATCCTAAGTCAATTTATTTACATGTATTAGCTTTGAGTCATCATACTTTCACATAAGATAAACTGTGAAAGACCAGTGAGAAGAGCCTTCCCAAGTGGGAAGGTAAGAGAACAACTCTAAATTTGGGCAACTAAGAATATTGGGAAAGGGAAGAAAAGGCAGGTTTAATTAGTTCTTTATTCTGTTTTTTCAGAGAGCATAGAATTTACTGGAGAGAAACCTAATGAATGTGGTGAATATGGGAAGGCCTTCAGGAGCAAGCAACATCTTGCTGTACATCAGAGAATTCATAATGGAGAGTTTTTTTATGAATGTAAAGAATGTGGGAAGGCTTTCCACTGGAACTCTGAACTTATTCGACATCAAAGAATTCATACTGGTGAGAAACCTTATGAATGTAGTATATGTGGCAAGGCCTTCAACATGAAGGCAAATCTTACTCGACACCAGAACATTCATACTAGAGAGAAACCTTTTGAATGTAGTGAATGTGGGAAGGCCTTTAGACAGAAGACGCAACTTTATGTCCATCAGAGAATTCATACTCGAGAGATTCCTCATGAATCTAAGGAATATAGGAAGACCTTCTTCTTCAACTCTGAACTTCTTGAAAATCAAAGAATTCATACTAGAGAGAAACTTTATGAATGTAATGAATGTGGGAAGGCCTTCAGCAGTAAGACACAACTTACTGTTCATCAGAGAATTCATACTGGAAAGATTGTTTATGAATGTGAGGAGTTTGGGAGTGCCTTTCATTGCAACTCAGATCTTATTCAGCCTCAGAGAATTCATACTGGAGAGAAACCTTATGCATGTAGTAAATGTGGGAAGGCCTTCAGACTGAAGGCACACCATACTCGACATGAAAGAATTCATATTGGAGAGGAACCTTATGAGTGTGGTGAATGTAAGAAGGCCTTTAGGAGTAAGATAAAACTTGCTGTGCATCAGAGAATTCATCCTTTAAAGAGTCTTCACAAATGTAAGGAGTGTAGGAAGGCCTTCTATCACAACTCAGATCTTATTAAACATCTGAGAATTCATATGGGAGAGAAACCTTACAAATGTAGTGAATGTAGACAGGCCTTCAAGAGGAAGGCACATCTTACTGTGCATCAGAGACGCTCTTTATGAATGTAAAGAGTGTGGGCAGGCTTTCCTATACAACTCAACATTTATTGTGCATCACAGAATTCATACTGGAGAAAAACCTTATGCATGTAGTGAGTGTGCAGAGGTGTTCAGGAGTAAGATACTACTTACTGTACATCAGAGAATTCATACTGGAAAGATTCTTTATGAATGTAAGGAGTGTGGGAAGGCTTTTCCCTACAACTCAGAACTTTTTCGACATCAAAGAATTCATAGTGGAGAGAAACCTTATAAATGTAGATTATGTGGGAAGGTCTTTAGGAGGAAGCAGCATCTTACTGTGCATCAGAGAATTTATACAGGGGGAAAACCTTATGAATGTAGTGAATGTCAGAAGGCCTTCAAGAGAAAGGCACATCTTACTGTGCATCAGAAATCTCATGCTGGAGAGAATCTTTATGAATGTAAGGAGTGTGGGAAGGCTTTCCCCTACAACTCAGCATTTATTCTACACCAAAGAATTCATACTGGAGAGAAACCTTATGAATGTAGTGAATGTGGGAAGGCTTTCAGGAGGAAGACACTAGTTACTGTGCATCAGAGAATTCATACTGGAGAGCTTATTTATGAATGTAAAGAGTGTGGAAAGTCTTTCCCCTACAACTCGGAACTTATTCGACATCAAAGAATTCATACTGGAGAGAAACCTTTTGAATGTAGTGTATGTGGTAAGGCGTTCCGCCGGACTGGAAATCTTACTCGACATCAGAGTATTCATACTGGAGAGAGACCTTATGAATGTAATGAATGTGGGAAGGCCTTCAGACTGAGGAGTCAACTTACTCAACATCAAAGAATTCATTCACAAGAGAAGCTGTAAGAGTATAATGCACTTGGGAAGGCCTTTAGACTGAGGACAGTACTTTATATCTTTCAGAGAATTCAGTTTGGAGAGATTCCTCATAAATGTAAGGAGTGTGGACTGGCCTTCTCTCACAACTCAGATCTTATAAAAATTAATGAATTCATACTGGAGAGAAACCTTATGAATGTAGTGAATATGGGAAGGCCTTGTGGAGGAAGGCACAACTCCCTGTGCATCAGAAAATTCATACTGGAGAGAAGCAATATAAATGTAGTGAATGTTTGGAGATCTTCAGGAGTAAGACCTGCTGTATATCAGAAATTCATACTGTAAACATTCTTCATGACGAAGGAGTGTGGGAAGGTTTTCCTCTACAACTCAGCATTTATTCTACATCCAAGAATTCATAGTGGAGAGAAATCTTATAAATGTAGTGAATGTGGGAAGGCCTTTAGGAACTAGATACAACTTTCTGTCCATTGAGGAATTCATAGTGGAGAAATTCTTTATGAATATGAGGAGTTTGGGAAGGCTTTCTAATGCAATTCAGATCTTATTCAACTTCAGAGAATTCATGTTGGAGAGAAACCTTATGTATGTACTGTATGAAGGAAGCCCTGGCTGAATGTAAATCTTACTTAACATCAGACAATTCATACTGAATGAACACCTTATGAATGTCATGAATGTGGAAAACCTTCAGACTGAGGATACAATTTGCTCAACATCAAAGAATTCATTCTGGAGAGAAATCTTTGAGTGTATTGCATGTGGGAAGGCCTTTCTTGGACTGCAGATACAACTTTAATGTCCATTAGAGAATTCATACTAGAGAAATTTCTCATGAATGTAAGAAGTATGGGAAGATCTCCTAGCTGACTAGACTATGATTCTGAGTCTGTAGATGCAGTTCAGAGTCCTTATTTAGCCCCCATCAACAGAGATAATCCCTTCTCTCTGTAGAGGCCTATAAAGGTGTAAAGATTTAGTTTACTTCCATCTCCCATCAGTGAGGGAAAGTTAACCCAAAGGATTCTGAGTGTGGCAGGTGGTATTGCTTTTTGGTGAGGCAGTTGGGGTTAAGTGACTTGCCCAGGGTCACACAGCTAGTAAAGGCAGGTGGTATTAAAAAAGCTTTGGTATTAACTATGATCCCTGGGCAAATGGCATGCAGTAAGCTTACAGATGACCACTTAGCCATCTGATGAGCCTGATGTATGATAAACACTTGTTGACTATGCTTAACAAATGTATCATGTACTGAGCTGTGTTCTTGATGTTGTCCATGCATTTGCTCATATTCTTCAGGGTAGCCACTGTGAAGCATGAAGAATTGGAATCACCTTAATTTTAAAAAAAAAAAAAAGCATCACAAGGGCCTATGCTAATATTGATGAAATGTGATTTCTGCCCAGTGTTGTGAATATTAAAGTGAAGAAATTCAGTGAAGTGCAAGTAAATGATGTGAGTAACTGTGACTTTCTTAAGGTAGCCAGATGCCTTGTCATCTAATACGTGACGCACATGAAAGATGAATGAGATTCCCATTGTGGTCAAGGGATATGAACAGGGGATTTATAGAAGATATCGAAGCTTTTCTTAGTCATTTGAAAAATGCTCAAAGTCACTACTGATTAGAGAAATGTAAATTAATAATAATTGCGATATCACCTCGCACCTCTCAGATTGGCTAACAACAGAAAAAAGACAAATTCTAGACGGGATGTGGAAAAATACACAGTAATGCACAATCCAGAACTGGTTCAACCATTCTAGAGGACAGTTTGTAACGATGCTGAAAGGGCTATAAAACTGTATCTCCTTTAACCCAGCAATACCACTACTAGGTCTGTATCCCAAAGAGATCAAAGATAAAGTACTATTTGTACAGAAATATTTTTAGCAGTTCTTTTTGTGGTGGCAAAGAATTGGAAATTTAGAGCATGTCTCTCAATTGGCAAAAGGCTAAACAAGTTGTATGTGATTATATTTCGCTATAAGAAATGATGAGGGCAATTGTTTCATAAAAACCTGGGACAATCTGTATGAATAGATACAGAGTGAAGTAAGCAGAACCAGAAGGTCATTGTACACAGTAACAGCAATATTTTAATGATGATCAACTGAATGATTTAGCTAATGTGATCAAGATAATGATCTAAGACAATTCCAAAGGACACATGATAAAAAATGCCGTCCACCCTCTGGGAGAGAACTGACAAACTTAGTGTAAAGTAAAGAATCACTTTTTTACTTTCCTTTCTTTTTTTTGGTGACTTGGCTAATAGAGAAATATATTTTGCATGCTTTCACTTGTAGAATTTCTGTATTACTTAACTTCTCAGTGGATAGATGGAGAGAGCATTTAGAAGTTAAAATTTAAAAAGAATGTTAAAAATAAAATTTTTTCAAATGAAGAAACTGTGGAGTCACCCACAATGTTGGACAGATTGTTGAACTCTGAGACATGGATCTTTCTGCAGGATAGAGGAAAAACCTAAGATTTCAGCCTACCTCCCTGAATCCTAATAATGTGCCTACCAGTTCTAGTCAGATGGGTGCAATGGGGGCCAATTCATATATCTCCAAACTTGTGGGCTCTAGCGTAATAAAAGGTTTGGTGAATGACTAATGCTTACACCAACCAGGGGTTGGCTTTGCAGCCACTCACCCAATCCTAGAAAAGAGTCTTTTCAGCCTCAAAGTTGGGAATGATCTATAAATCATTACTTAGAAACCCATTGTTCCCATGTGCTGCCCATCCCTTCAACCACTAGTGTCTCATTAGGTTCAGTGTCTGGAGGTGTTGCTGTCTTACAGCAGCCCCTGTTCAGTGATTTTGAAGCCTCTTTTCCACCTCCTTGTTGGCAGGCAAGGCAATAAATAATCATATGGTAAAGACAGTCACTCTGTGGAGGGCTTTAATGGATGAGTTAGTATTTTTATTCTAGAGTCATTTAGAAAGCTACTGAAGTCCTAAAACAGAATGGCATGGTCTGACCTATGATTTAGGAATATCCATTTGCCAGTTGTATAGAGAAAATGTTGGAAAGGAGAAAAACTGCATGTGTGTTTGTTTTCCTTTGGACCTGTGATTTCATCCCTATGGGGAAGTCCCAATATGGAGGTTACCTGTACTCACAGAGATGGACCACTCCATTATAAATTCCTATCCTAGGCAAATCTTGATTCAAGAGGGCTGAAAATAGTCTTGCTATATATCTCTTTCCAGAAAGGTAATGGATTTAACATGCAGAATGTGACATTTTTTGATGTGACCAATGTAGAAATTTAT